GTGCTGTGCTGTATCCTGGAGAGGCAATAAACTTCCTCTATTCCACCGGCTGGTGCAGTCTGTTTGTGCCATTTCGGGGTGCAGGAGACGGGGGACCCCCAACGCGCCGTCACAAGAGTGCAGAAGTAAGGGTGATAATATGCACAGGCACTCAGGGTATGTCTACACTACAACGTTAATTCGAACTTAGTTCGAATTAGTTAATTCGAACTAAGCTAATTCGAACTAACCGATCCAGACTAAAAAACTAGTTCGAATTAGCGTTTTGCTAATTCGAACTAGCATGTCCACATTAAGTGGACCCTGAACCGGGCTTAAGGATGGCTGGAAGCAGTGCCGGCAGGGCATCAGAGGAGAACTTAGAGCGTGGAGATGCTGTCTCAGGCTAGCCGAGGGCTGTGCTTAAAGGGTCCCGACCCCCACCCTGGACAGGCAGTTCTCAGGGGTGCCCCGCTTGCAAAGCAGTCCTGGCTTGGATTGCCCGGACTACCCACACTGGGCACATCACAGCACTCGGCCATCAGCATTTCTCAAAAACGAAACCGCAGTCTAGATGGGGTTCTTTTGGAAAAAAAAAAAACCTTTTTCGAAAAAACCCATACTCCTGAAAAAATGAGGTGTACGGGTTCTTTCAAAAAAGGGTTGTTTTTTTCCAAAACCCTCGTCTAGACAGCAGTTTCTTTTACAAAAAACCCTTTTTTTGAAAAAGCGTTCTTATGCAATTATGCGAATAAAGCACGAGATTTGTAAATCCACGCTTCATTTGAATTTTCAATCTGCTTCATTTGCATTCCTCTTTTGAGAGAGGAATGCAGTCTAGACATAAACTAGTAATGAAAACAGCACAGCATGGGCTAGTGAGCCAAGTAGGTGCCTAGGCTCCTTGCAGGCTTGTAGTACTTGCTGTGCTATTTTCATTACTACTGTTATCAATACTATCAGGATTCAAGATAGCTCAGATTGACTAGCCCATGCAAATTTTTGCTGTGTAGATGTACTCTAGATTACATACCTTGTTGGGATACATGTTCCTGTATGAGACATAAGAGCTGTTCTCTGGTGTTTGGCACTGCAATGTCAGAAATTGAGTTGATCCTATAGCTTTCAGAGAAAACATTATGGACCTCGTTTTTGAAGGGCCTCCAAAATTGTGCCCACAACATCTGCCCGTTCAAAATTTGCTCAAGAAAACCCCTATCGATGTGTTTCACAGCTGGGAATTAGCACGTCCACAATGTAAAGATGCATGTAGAGGTATCCACTTGCAAATGAAAATGCAGGGTGAAAAATGTACACCCTTGCAGATATCGGGGGTGCATATTCAAATGCCATTTTACAATGTGGCCCAATGTATAAAATGCAGTTCTTATAAGATAGCTCTTCATGAATTTTGATACATTCATGGGTTCTAGTGGCAGCTTTAGCATTCTATTAATTATATTTTGGATTTTAGAAACTTGATATGTTCCTTTTTATTCTCATTGTTGTCATAATTGGAATTTTGTCCATGAATCTGTGTTTATCTGAGTGACCACATGCCTGTTTGTCTGTGAATTGTATTATATACTGTAACTAATGATAATATATTAGTATAGTTAAGTGCTAATAGAATTTTGATACTCCAAGGAAATTATGGAAATTTGCTAATGGAATTAAATTGGACTTCTACATCAGAGTAGTAGTGTCACTATCAGCAATGAATGCTTTTGTAAGGTAATTGTGTAGAACATTGGTACCACCGCAGAAAAATAGTGGAGCACTGTCCATAAAATATGTCGGAATTAAATGTTATATGGGTATATTTTCCACAAAATTCCCATTAAATTTAGTAGGATTTATGCATGCATAGTTGGGGCAAAATATATATACATACACACAGCTCCTCAGTCTTGTTCTTATGACATAATGGTTGAAATTTCTGCAAACAGTCTGATCTGAGATTATTACAGCACATATACCATATATAAAAGTTTTATTACTCACCCAGTTCCAGACTTGCAGCCTTAGACTCCAAATTTGGAGTCTCACTTCTGAGGCATGCAACTTCTAAAGTGTAAAAATGGGATGCCTGGGTGCAGAATTACCAGTTTGAGTAAACTGGGTATGCACATCAGAGATTAAGAGCCCAATTTTGGGTGTGGTCAGTTGCAAAAACAGAGATTAGTTTGTGGCTGGATTTCTGTATGCAAATTTGGATTTACACAGCTGAACTGACAATTCTAATGGTTCTAATGAAAACATTTTGCAATTGTCTGATTTTTAAGATGTCTAGCTACTGGCTGTTCATTTGAGGAAGGGACTTACATTTGAGGCCTCGATTTTTCTTTTCCATAGTGATGTCTGTTTGCCAATATGGACACCTGGAGCTCTTTTTAGTGGGTAATTAAAATTATTGAAAGTTCAGAGTCCATTCAGTGATGCTGGAGATTTTTTTAAAATTAATTTGGGGCTATAAGAAGTCCCCTTGTTCCTTTGCATGGGCTGCCTAGGCCTTGAATCTAAGTGTGTCGAAATAAGCACTGTATGTTACATGCATTGCTTACTTTCATTCCTGGAGTAGCTGATTGGAGGGTGGACAATGAGGGTACGTCTAGACTACATGCCTCTGTCGCCAGAGGCATGTAGATTAGGCTACCAGACATAGGAAAACGAAGCGGCGATTTAAATAATCGCCACTTCATTTAAATTTACATGGCTGCTGCGCTGAGCCAACAAACAGCTGATCAGCTGTTTGTCGGCTCAGCGCGATAGCTGCCGATCAGCTGTTTGTCGGCAGATCAGGGCAGTCTGGATGCTCCCCAGCCGAAATGAAAGCCCTTTATCGACCTCCCCGGTAAACCTCATCCTACGAGGCATAACAGGGAGGTCGATAAAGGGCTTTCAGGTCAGCGCGGGAGCGTCCAGACTAGTGCGCTGAGCCGACAAACAGCTGATCAACTGTTTGTTGGCTCAGCGCGGCAGCCATTTAAATTTAAATGAAGCAGCGATTATTTAAATCGCCGCTTCATTTTCCTATGTCTGGTAGCCTAATCTACATTCCTCTGGTGACAGAGGCATGTAGTCTAGACGTACCCTGAGAGTCATGACTCCACCCTTTCTACTCACTTCTCTGGGTAGCTGAATTAGCCTTTTATGGGCCTTTTATGCCAGCAGCAAATTACTATCTCTCTGGACCAATGGGACAGAAGATGAGAAACTATGACTGAGAGGGGTATCTCTGAATCACAGCTCTATGTAGGACTTCTCTTGGGTGCAGTGTTTACTCACCAACCTTTTCTCTTTGCTCTGTTTGCTCATAGTTCATTCTCCCCCTGTCTACATTCTGCTTTCTGCTACTGGGGAACTGGTTACAGCCCCAGGATATTCACTGATGCTGTGACTAGACTACATGCCTCTGTCGTCAGAGGCATGTAGATTAGACACATAGGCAAAGTCAAATGAAGCCGCGATTTAAATGATCGTGGCTTCATTTAAATTTACATGGCTGCAGCGCTGAGCCAACAAACAGCTGATCAGCTGTTTGTCCGCTCAGCAAGCTAGTCTGGGCGCTCCCCTGCCGACATCAAAGCCCCTTGTCGGCAGCCCCATTATTCCTCGTGGGATGAGGTTTACCGGGGCTGCCAACAAAGGGCTTTGATGTCGGCAGGGGGATAGCGCGCTGAGCGGACAAACAGCTGATCAGCTGTTTGTCGGCTCAGCGCGGCAGGCATGTAAATTTAAATGAAGCCGCGATTATTTAAATCGCGGCTTCATTTGACTTTGCCAAAACAACAAATCTACATGGCTCCGTCAACGGAGCCATGTAGTTTAGACGTACCCTGAGTTACAGCAGCCTCCACACTGCTCTAATTTATGGCACAGTGTCTGGTTCCTAAGGGACTTTGCACCAATGGAAGATCATGGGTAGTATAAACACCATACATCCACACATGGCATTTGTAAATGTCATGAGAGTATCCATTTTCAAGCTGTATTTTTAGCACTCCATCATTATAAACTCTGTTGGCTTCTCTGCAGTATTTGTAAGAGCTGTAAAAACAGAAATATTCAGTGTGCGTAACTACAACTGGTCTCTCACTCTCCTGGTGTCTCTGACTCTTCCACCCACCTTGAACATTCATGATTGGCTTAAAAAAGCAATAGTATCTGGATTGGAAGGTATCAGGTTCTTTAAGAAAGGTATTGTGTGCATTTTACTAATGTAGGCAAAACTACTTGTGACTAATGAACTA